AACTCTGGGGGTGCCCGCTGCCCCCCACTCTGTGCCAGCAGCCAGCAGGACCCCCCCTCACCCTCAGGAAAACTGTCCCCAGTGTCCCCCGGCCTGTGGTGGCACCGGGGAGGGAACCCCCCTCATGTCTGGTGGGGGGGCACTGTAAATAAAGAACCCTGTGCCCACCCAGCCCCTTCCTGCTCCTGGCACCACGGGGGTGTCACAGGAACCCCAAAGTGCCCCCTGGCACCACGGGGGTGTCACAGGAACCCCAAAGTGCCCCCTGGCACCACGGGGGTGTCACAGGAACCCCAAAGTGCCCCCTGTGCCCCCAGCACGGCCGGGTCACACCCACATCCCGATTTATTCTCCGGGGGGGCACGGAGTGGGGAGGGGGGGGTGAAATTGTGATTTTTGGAGCTCACTGAACCAAATGAATCGAGCGTTTCAATTTTAGTTTGTGGAATTCTGCGTTGAATTTTTACCTTCTGCCCGAGCAACCTTTTGCCACGGTACAAAGGGAGCAGGAAAATGCGAATTTGGGAAGATTCTCGCCTAAAGGGCGATGGCAGCGGAGGCAAAGAGGCAGATAAAGAAGCTCCTCTGCCTCCGAGCTTATCGAGAATGACCGAGCTACTGAGATAAACACACAAAAAGGAGAAAAGCTCAGGAGTTTAATCAGGAAAATACCAAAAATACCAAATCTTCAGCCTGAGACCACAGCAAACCCCCCAAACTGCCCAGACGGGCGTGGACCCATTTAGGACAGGGGTTGAATATATGGAATATAATATGTATTTATTGACGTGGAACATCTTTGTGAATGAAGTGCGGCTCACACCGAGGCTGGGGCACAAATCTTGGAGGAATATCTCACTGTGCCAACGTGCCCACTCCAGAAACGCACCAGCTTGTGGAGTTTTTATTTAATTTATTTATTTATTTGTGTGTTTATTTATTTATTTATCCCGCGGGTGCCGAGATTTATTTCACTTCACAAGGAACAGGGTCAGTGTTTGTGGTCCTGGCCCTGTGGCCCTGGAGCCCGAATCAAAAAATTTGGATTTTTTGAGGGCAGCAGCCTCCCCAAAAATTCCAAAATGGCAAAAAAAAAACCGGTCCAGACCGGGTCCGGTGCTGCCGGTCCTGCTCCGGCTGGGTTTGGGCTCCCCCAGCCCGGTCCCGGTCCCGGTTCGGTTTCCCCCAGCCCAGGTCGGTGCCGGGTTCATGAACCCCAGCCCGGCCCCAGTCGGGTCCCGGTCCCGGTCCCGGTTCCGGGTCCCGGTCCCGGTCCCGGTCACGGTCCCGATCCCGGTTCCTGGTCCCGGTCCCGATCCCCGGTCCCGGCCCTCGGTCCCCGGTCCCCGGTCCTGGTCCCAGCTCCTGATCCCGGTCCCGGTCCTAGCCCTCGGTCCCCGGTCCCGGTCCCGGTCCTGGTCCCGGTCCCTATCCCCGATCCCTATCACGGTCCCGGTCCCGGTCCCAGGTCCCCGATCCCGATCCCGGTCCCGATCCCGATTCCAGCCCCCGGTCCCCGATCCCGGTCCCGATCCCGATCCCGGTCCCGGCCCCGCGCCCCGCCCACTCCCGGAGGCTCCGCCCACCACCGCTCGCAAAGCCCTCTGGGTAATGGAGTCTCCTTTTAAGGGCGCGCAAAGCCGCTCCAGGACTACACTTCCCAGAAGACTTTGCGGCGGGGGCAGCAGACAGCGCCGCCTGCTGGCTCGGAGCGGGAGCGCGGCCATCGCTGCGCTGGGTCGGGGGGGGACACGGGGGGACAGCGACCGGGAACCGGGGACACCGACAGGGGACCGGGGACACCGACAGGGGACCGGGGACACCGACAGGGGACCGGGGACAGCGGGGACACGAACGGAGCGCCAGCACCGCCGTGGGCTGCGGGCAGCGTGGGCAACACGGCTCAGGAGGACGCGGCCGCGGGAAACTGAGGCACGGCGCGGGCGCGTCCCGCGACCCCCGGAGGTTCACGCGCCGCTCCGGCCCCGCAGCTGCGGGACCGGGGGGGCCCGGGTGAGGTGACCCCGCCGTGCCAAGCCCCGGGACAGCGGGAGCGCGTCCCCGCGGGCCCGGGCCGTGTCCCCGGCAGGTGGCGGCCGCGGAGCGCGGAGCTCCCCGCGTGTCCCCGTTTCCCCGCTCCGAGCGCGCCGACCCCTCCCGCCCCCGGCTGCCGGTCCCGGTGCACGGACCGAGCCGCCCCCGCGCGCCGCCGCGGGCATTGCCGCCCCCCGGTGCAACCCCCGCTCCACCGACGGACCCCCGGTGCAGCCCCCGCTGTACGGACCGTTCCGCCGCCCACCGAGCGACCCCCGCTGCCGCCCCGGTGCACTGACCGAACCCCGATCAAGGAACAACCCCCGGTGCACGGACCGAGCCCCCGGTACAGCCCCAACTCCACGCACTAAAACCCCGGTGCAGCCCCCGACCCCCGGTGCAGCTCCGGTCCCACGGACCGACTCCCGCCGTGCAGACCCCCATGCACGAACCGACCTCAGGGACCGACACCCGGTGCAGCTCCCGGTCCCACAGATCACCCCCCGGTGCACCGACCGACCACCGTTGCAGGTCCCGGTGCAAGGAACGACCCCCGGAGCGGGTCCCGGTGCAGCCCCCCGGTGCAAGGAACGACCCCCGGTGCAACTCCCGGTGCAAGGAACGACCCCCGGAGCGGATCCCGGTCCCACGGACCGACCCCGGCCCCCGGTTCCCCCCCGGTTCCCCCCCGGTTCCCCCCCGGTTCCCCCCCGGTTCCCCCCCGGTTCCCCCCCGGTTCCCCCGTTCCCGGCCGGTCCCACGCCCGTCCCGGGGGGGCGCAGTTTCAGGGCGGGGTTTCCCCCACGCTCCCCCCCCCCTCCGTTTCCCCCCCCCGTGGGCCCCGCCGGCGGCGCCCAATCAGCGCCTCGCCCGTGGGCGGCTCCGCGCGGCGCAGCCAATGGGCGAGGCGGGGGCGCCGCGCGAGGCCCCGCCCTCCGGCGGGAGGCTATAAAAGGCGGCGCCGGGCGCGGCCGGCGTTCAGAGCGATCGTGCTGGAGCGGCGGCGGGAGCGGAGCGGGACCGGGGATCGCGATAGCGCCGCGATATCTCCGCGATATCCCCGCGATAGCCGCGCTCGGGATTATTGCTCTTGGAGTTTGCTTTCTTCTTCTGCGGATTACAATTGCACCATGACCCTGGAGGAGCTGGTGCCTTGCGACAGCAGCAAGTAAGTGGCGGCGGCTCGCGGCGTTCGGCGGGGGGGTCTGCGGTTGTCGCCGCCGCCGCTCACCGGCTCCGTCGTTCCTCCCGGCAGGATGCAGGCGGTGAGCGAGGCGGTGGAGCGGGTGCTGGTGGCGGCGCAGCGTCAGGACCGCCTCACCGTGGGGGTCTACGAGTCGGCCAAGCTGATGAATGTGTGAGTATCGCGACAGGGCTCTGTCGGGGGGTCTGTCGGGGGGTGGCTCATCTCGGCCCGCTTAGAAAAGCTGGCTCTTGCTAGGAGCTTTTATGGGGTGGTGACCAGGCAGAATATGGGGGATCTGTCCCCCACTCAGTGCGACAGGGAGGTGACACGCGTGGGGGGGTGACAGCTCCGTGGGACGGGGTTCTAACTCGCCGCGGCCCCGCAGGGACCCCGACAGCGTGGTGCTGTGCGTGCTGGCCACCGACGAGGAGGACGAAGGCGACATCGCCCTGCAGATCCACTTCACGCTGATCCAGGCGTTCTGCTGCGACAACGACATCCACATCCTGCGCGTGTCGGGCATGCAGCGCCTCGCTGCCATCCTGGGCGAGCCCGAGCCCGGCTCCGAGCCCCGCGACCTGCACTGCCTCCTGGTCACGGTGAGCGCGGCGGGGACGCGCCCGGTGCCCCCGTGCCTCGGTCGGGGAGGGTGGCGGGGCGGCTCGGGGACGCGCGTCGGGGCGCTGGTGGCACTAACATCGTTCTCCTGCTTCTCCAGAACCCGCACACGGACGCCTGGAAGAGTCAGGGGCTGGCGGAGGTGGCGAGTTACTGCGCCGAGAGTCGCGACAGGAACCAGTGGGTGCCTTACGTGTGTCTGCAGGAGCGCTGAGCCCTTCCCGGGCTGGACTTGGAGGATTAAAAACATTAAAAAAAAAATAAAAACCCAACACAAAACAACAGGGGAAAAAAAAAAAGGGAAGAAGAAACAGCCAGTTCCAAGCCACAATCCCCAAAACCCACCGATTTTATTTTTCTTTTGGACCGGAGAGGAGGAGGAAAGGGGAGCGCGGCCGCTGCGGTGGGAATGGAGGAAACCGTGCCGAGCCCGGAGGGGGACGCTGGCCGGAGCCCGGGTGGACACTGGCCGGAGCTCCGGTGGACACTGGACACGGGCACTGGCCGGAGCCCGGGTGGACACTGGACACTGGCCGGAGCTCCGGTGGACACTGGACACGGGCACTGGCCGGAGCTGCCGGCCGAGGAGCCGTGCTGGACCGGGAACCGGAGCCGAGTGAGCCCCGGGCGGGCGCTGCGGAGCGCGGGGGGGTGACCCCGGAGTTGGACATCGTCGCGATTTTTGGGCAGCTGGGACCCGATGGAGGCGAGGAGTGCAGAAATCTGGATTTTTAAAAATTTTTCTTTTGGTGCAAAAACTGCTTTTTTCAAGGAATTATGGACGTCCGCACAGATGGACCTGCACCTCCCGAGTGCTGCTTTTGCACTTGGAGACCCTGAGCTGAACTTTTTCCAGAGTTTATTCTTCTACTGAGCGAGGAACTAAATTTATTTGCAATAAAATGTCTGACGTTAGTGGTGTTTGCTCTTCCCTGCGCTCTGCTGGAGCCGTTCCCAAGGGAGCGGGATCGGCGCCTCCTGGGTGGGTTTTGGGGTGGGCTACACCTCCCCTAAGGGCTCTGCACGCTTTTGGGGGGGGCCTTTTGTAGGGCCGGGGGTTCCCACCCGTGTGTGGCCTCTCTGCTGCTGCTGGAGGAGAAATTCCCACCCCACCCTTCTCTGAAAAAGGGGTTTTTTCCAAGAAAAACACCCACGAGGTGCCCTGAGCTCCGTGGGAAGCTGAGCACGGGCTCCCCCCGGGCTCGGGGCTGGAGTTTTCCCCCACCCGCGCGGAAACCGCGGCCGTGGGAAGCGGCCCCGGGGCTGCCCGCGGGGGTGGGGGCACCCCGGGGAGTCCCCGCGCCCCCATCCCCTCCCCCGGCCGCGGTGGGGGAGTTCCCTCCGTCCTCCGGGGGTGGGGACAAGGACAACCCCGAGGGCTCCGGGGAAACTGAGGCCGGTGCGGTCGGGGCTGGGTGGGAAATGGGGACCCGCGGGGGCTCCCCGGGACACGCGTGGGGGGCTTGGCGGAGCGGCTGCGGCTCCCCTGAGCTGGCCGTGCCCCGTGTCACCCGCGCGGTGTCACACGGGGTGAGCGGGAGCGGTGCCAGCCCCGGCACGGAGCCCGGCCGGGACACGGCGACCGGCCAGCCCCGGTCTGGGGACGCCGTGGCCGGCCCCGAGTGTGGCGCGGCTCGGGGACGCGCCCTGCGCCCTCCTTTGGGGTTTTGACTGCGGGGGAAACTGAGGCACGGTGCGTGACAGCCACCGCAGCGCCACCCCGCCGTGTCCCGGCGGTCCCAAGGGACAAGGGGGTGACAGCACCACAGCACCCTCTGGGTGGCCCAAACCGCGACCCCCCCGAGGTCCCCCAGCTGTGGGGTGGGGGGGGCGCGATGGGGTCGCGCTGTTCCCCGGGATCCTCCCGGGAAAATCCCGCAGGGAAAGGGCCCGAGGGCGGCTGAGGCCGCCGCAACTCGTTTCACTGATGAGGCAGCGCGGTCACGAGGCCATTCCTGTCGCCGCTGTCACCGCGGCCGTGCCGCTCGTGTGACCGGTGTGTCAGGCCGCCGCTGTGTCACGGGGCCGGGAGGGGTGACCGTCCCCCCCAGACCTCCCCTGTGCCCCCCAGACCCCCCAAAATCTCCCTTCCCACCCGCAGGAGCAGCCCCCCCCCCCCCCCCCCCCCCCCCCCCCCCCCCCCCCCCCCCCCCCCCCCCCCCCCCCCCCCCCAGCCGGGTCACGCACATGCCACCCCCCCCACGGTGTCCCCGTGTCCCCTCCAGGGACACCCCGAGTCACCCCAAACTGCAGCCGGGGCCCAGAAACCCCCACAGACACCCCCCCCCCATGGACCCCAAACCCACGGAGCCCCAAAAGTCCCCCCAGCCGGGGTGGGGACAATGGGACGGGACCGCGCTGGCTCGGGGATCCCGGCCGGGCTCTGACCCAACTTTGCACCCCTCGGAGCCGGCCCGGACACGGGGGGAGGTTTGGGGGTTCGGGGAGGGGTCCCTCACTCACCCCCACCCCCCCAGCGCCGGGAAAAGGAATCCAGGGCTGGGAATGGGGGTCCTGGGGGGACCCCCCCCATCACCACCGCGGGATAATTCAACCCTGGGTGATAATTAGGTCATTAATAATGAATTAGGAGGTCGCAGCCAGCCCTGGGGTGCAGGATGGGTGTTGGGCACCCCCCAAAAAGCCGACACGGGGTGGGGGGAGGATTTTGGGGGGCGGGAGGTCCCGGGGGGTGACACGGGCGGGGTTCGGGGGCCCCGAGCCCCTTCCCGGCTCCGGGGCGGCCGCGGCCAGACAGGGCAGGGCCGGAGCCGCTGATTTACGAGTCTGGCCTGGGCGGCTCCGGTGGCTCCGGCGGCTCCGGTGGCTCCGGCGGCTCCGGCGGCTCCGGTGGCTCCGGCTCCACCCCGGGAGCGACACCGGCGACGAGAAACCGTGGGGGCGCCGCCCGCCCCGAACCCCCCTAACCCAAAGCGACATGCCCAAGCTCTGGAAATTGGGGGAAACTGAGGCACGGAGCTGTTCCCCCCCCACCCACCACCACCACCCTTCCCCCGCCGGTGACACCCGGAGCAGGATGTCCCTCCGTGATGTCACCGTGGCGGCCCCGTCGCGTCACGGGTGTCCCCGTGTCACCCGCGTGGGGACATCGCGGGATCCTCCACGGAGTCCCCGCGGTCGGGGGGGTCCCCGGCAGGAATGGGGGGGGTGGCCCCGCTGCTGTCCCCGGGCCACCCGGTGCCTTCCCGGTGGCAAGGAGTTAATTAGGGCGGCAGGGAGTTAATTAGAGCGGCAGGCAGGCTAAAAATAACCCGGGAGGGTTATTTTTAGCCGCTCCCAACCCGGTGCCACCCGGCCGGTGTCGCTCGGCGCTGGCACCGCCACCCGCTGCCACCTCCGGCGCTTGGCAGCGAATTCCCGGAGGCGCTCCCGGTGTCCCGGAGGCGCTCCCGGTGTCCCGGAGGCGCTCCCGGTGTCCCGGGGCTTGGACGGGAATCGGGGACAGCGACACCGAGCCGCTGCCATCCCGTGTTTGTCCCCCCGTCCTTGTCCCCCTGCCCACCCCGCCCTTCCCAGCCGCGTTTTTGGAGCAGACGCCGAAAAATCCCAACAATTCCCGGCCCGCGGCGGCAGCGGGAGCGGCGCATTCCAAGGATTCGCTCCCGGCCTGGATCCCGCTGATTTTCCAGCGGGGAAGCTGGCACGGGCCGGGATCGATTTTCCCGGAAAAAAAAAAAAAGGAATGCAGCGCTGGGTTTGGTTTTCCCGCGGCCCCGTGGGATGGGACAGCTCCGGAGATTCCCGGGAAAAAGGAGATTCCCGTGGAGAAACCGCCAGGGATGGAGAGAACAGGGAAAAGGGAATCCCTGGAATTGGGGGATTGCCGAGGGTGGGATAAGGGGATTTCGAGAATGGAGGATTCCCAAAGGAATCCCGAAAGTGGAGGATTCCCAAGGGTGGGATCAGGGAATTTGGAGAGTGGAGGATTCCCAAGGATGGGATCAGGGAATTTGGAGAGTGGAGGATTCCCAAGGGTGGGAATAAGGAATTTTGAGAGTGGGGGATTCCCAAGGGTGGGATCAGGGAATTTGGAGAGTGCAGGATTCCCAAAGGAATCCCAAGAGTGGAGGATTCCCAAGGGTGGGAACAGGGAATTTGGAGAGTGGAGGATTCCCAAGGATGGGATCAGGGAATTTGGAGAGTGGAGGATTCCCAAGGATGGGATCAGGGAATTTCGAGTGGGGGATTCCCAAGAGTGGGAACAGGGAATTTGGAGAGTGCAGGATTCCCAAAGGAATCCCAAGAGTGGAAAATTCCCAAGGGTGGGATCAGGGAATTTTGAGAGTGGAGGATTCCCAAGGGTGGGAATAAGGAATTTTGAGAGTGGGGGATTCCCAAGGGTGGGATCAGGGAATTTCGAGTGGGGGATTCCCAAGGGGGGAAGAGGGATCCCCGAGGGGTTTCCGTGGGATCCCGGAGGATCCGGAATTCCCACTGCCCTCGGCGCAGCCCAGGCAGGCAGAGGAAATGGGCAAAATGCAAAGTGATCCTTTTTTATTGTGTTATCCATTATCACTTGGGAACAACGACTCCACGAAATATTAAACACGGTGCGAGGAGGGGTCGGGGCTATGGCACACGAGAAAGGGAAAAATCAACGAAACAAACCCAAAAAAAAACCCCCGGGAATTGCAGACGGATGAGGAGCCTACGGCACAGACACCGACCACTTCCTAAGGACAGTCCAGAAAAAAACCTGGATTGGCGTTTGGCAACGAGATGGCAGTTTGGCAAATAATAATAACAATAATAATCATCAATAATAATAACAATTCATGATTATTTGAATGACAGACCAGAGAGAAGGAGAAAATGAGGAGCGCCAAGGATCCCGCGTGGGCTCGGAGTAAATGAATTATTGGGATTTTGTTAAATAAAGGTGGATTTTGAAGGAGTTTAGGGGGGGGGAAAATAAAAGAGACATTTGGGAGATCCAGAGGCTCCGGGGTGTCCCGGCTCCATCCCCCGATGGAGGGAGGGGAGGGCGAGGCAAAGGGAGGAAAACTGGAACAGGAGCAATGTTTCCCTGGCCCTTTTATTCCCAGATTTCTATTTTTGGCACTGGCTTCACCACATCCCATAAAGAAAGGCCGGACAGATCTGGGCATGTGGTTAAATCCAAAAAAAAAAGGCTTTTGTGGAGCTGGGCTCCAGCTCCTCCTGCTCCCCCTTCCAGCACTTAGAAAGTTCTGAAAAGTCTTTTTTTTGTGGTTTTTTTCCCCTCCTTTCCCCCCCATCTTTTTTTTTTTTTTTTGTGTAGTTTTTTTTAAAAGAAATTTATTTGGCAAATGCACTAAACAAAGTACAAGCAACTACTGGGAATCTGCACTTCTATTTCTGCCATACTAAAACATCCACGGCGTGAGCACGGATTTACTCGGACAAGGAGAAAATTCTGGGGGAAAAAAAAAAGAAAAAAAAGGGGAAAAACCAAAAAAAGGTGTGAAAAAATAAAAAAAAAAAAAGAAAAAAAAAGAAAAATGGAGAATTTTTTTCCCAACAAAAACGAGTCACCAGCACCTGCCACAGCTCCCGGCTCCTGCTGGGACCCTCGGCATTCCGGGATCCCGTGGGAGATGCTCCATGGCTTTTCTCCCGGCTCCTTTTCCCTTTTCCCAACCCCTTTTCCCTTCTCCCTGACCCTTTTCCTGCCTCCTTGTTCCTTCTCCTGGCTCCTTTTCACTTTTCCCAGCCACTTTCCCTTCTCCCGATCCCTTTTCCCCCAGATCCTTTCCCCTTCTCCCTTCTCCAACCCCTTCTCCCTTTTCCCTTTTCCCATCTCCTTTTTGCCCTTCTCCCATCCCTCTTCCCTTTTCTTTTTTCCCTTCTCCAATCCCTTTTCCCTTTTCCAATCCCTTTTCCCTTTTCCCTTCTCCAATCCCTTTTCTATTTTCCCTTTTCCAATCCCGTTTCCCTTCTCCCTCTTCCCTTCTCCCATCTCTTTTCTCTTTTCCCTTTTCTCTTTTCCCTTCTCCAATCCCTTTTCCCTTTTCCCTTCTCCCTTTTCCAATCCCTTTTCCCTTCTCCAATCCCTTTTCCCTTTTCTCTTCTCCAATCCATTTTCCCTTTTCCATTTTCCCTTCTCCAATCTTGTCTCCCTTTTCCCTTTTCCCTTTTCCAATCCCTTTTCCCTTTTCCCTTTCCCCTTTTCCCTTCTCCCTTCTCCCTTCTCCAATCCCTTTTCCCTTCTCCCTTTTCCCTTTCCCCTTTCCCCTTTTCCCTTTTCCCTTTTCCCTTTCCCTTTCCCCTTTCCCTTTCCCCTTTTCCCTTCTCCCTTTTCCAATCCCTTTTCCCTTTTCCCTTTTCCCTTTCCCCTTTTCCCTTCTCCCTTCTCCAATCCCTTTTCCCTTCTCCCTTTTCCCTTTTCCCTTTCTCCTTTTCCCTTCTCCCTTCTCCAATCCCTTTTCCCTTCTCCCTTTTCCATTCCCTTCTCCCTTCTCCAATCCCTTTTCCCTTCTCCCTTTTCCAATCCCTTTTCCCTTTTCCCTTCTCCAATCCCTTTTCCCTTTTCCCTTTCCCCTTTTCCCTTTTCCCTTTTCCCTTTTCCCTTTCCCCTTTCCCTTTCCCCTTCTCCCTTTTCCAATCCCTTTTCCCTTTTCCCTTTTCCCTTTTCCCTTTTCCCTTTTCCCTTTTCCCTTTCCCCTTTCCCTTTTCCCTTCTCCCTTTTCCAATCCCTTTTCCCTTTTCCCTTTTCCCTTTCCCCTTTTCTCTTCTCCCTTTTCCAATCCCTTTTCCCTTTCCCCTTTCCCTTTCCCCTTCTCCCTCCTCCCTCTCCCGGCTCCCGCGTGGCTTTGGCTCGGGCAGGACCCCGGGATGGGGGAGGCAGAGCGACCCCGAAGTGTCTGACCCAGCTCCCCTTGGGATTCACATCCCACGGGATTCTCCCGGGATGGGGGGGTTGGAGCCCCTGAGGAGGAGGAGGAGGAGGAAGAGGAAGAATTCCCGGCCCAGCCCCGGCTCCACGATAGCACCAAGCTCTGGTCTCGAACACAGAGGAAGAATCAGATCTGGAGTAGAAAAATAAGGCTGGAACTGTCCGAGAGATTAAGGACAAGAGGGAATTCCCTCCTGGAGAAGGAATCCCGGGCTGGACTCGGGATTCCTGGCGTGATTCCCGGCGGGCGGAGCTTGGAGCGGGATGGGATTTGGGATTTGGGATCAAACTCTCCAATAAAGGCTTTGCTGGGGCTGAAGGACAGGAAGGGAAATTCCTGGGAAATGATCCCGTTTTCCCTGCTCTGCTCCCCCTTAAGGGATGGGGGGGGGACATTCCCAAGCCCTGGAATTCCGGGACACTGCGGGGAGCATTCCCAGGAAAAGCCGCGCAGCTTTTAGTGTTAAAAACGTGGCATTTTTCAACTTTTGTTGCGAAGGCAAATGAGGGCGGACTGCAAACGAGGAATAGCGACATTCCTGCAGCCCGGCCCCCCTGGGAATTCCAGCCCGGCCCCCCTGGGAATTCCAGCCCGGCCCCCCTGGGAATTCCAGCCGCCTCTGGAAAAGGGCTGGAGCAGCTCCCGGTGCCCAGCAGCACCAGTGACCCCGCGGGGATTTAGCGGGAACGCAGGGAATGGCAAATCCCTTCCCTTGGGAATTGCTCCCTGTCCCGTGATGGGATCCCCGGCATTCCTAACCCAATCCAAAGTTTTGGGGGGAATGGGGAAACCCCCTGGATTTCACATCAGCTGTGGCCGGGTTGTTTTTATCCCTTCTCTTCCTAAAAACCTGGGCTCAGGATAACCGGGAATGGCCTCTCCCTACGATGCTCTTGGGAAATCTTTTCCAGCCTCACGGATTCTGGGATTTTGGGAACGTCTCCCAGGAGCTGCTGAGCCCCGGGATGGGCCCTGGGGACGTGGCTTGGGCTCAGACACTGCACCCAAATCCCGGGATCTGTCCCTTCCCCACAGATCCGGCGGCCACTCCACGGGAATTCCCGGAGCTCTCCGAGCATCCAGCAGCCCCAGCCCTTTCCAAGGGATCCATGGAAGCATCTCCAGCTCCCCCTTTCCCTGGATCCCCCTTTTCTGCTCCCCCTTTTCCCTGGATCCCCTTTTCCTGCTCCCCACTTCGTGCTGTGTCATCCCCGTGAGATCCAAGCGCTCCCAGTTCAATCCCATTCCCAAATTCCCAAGGGATGGGAACAGAACTGGTCCTTCCACTCCCCCTCCCCACCTGCCCTAAACTTCCCTGGATATTTCCCAGGCCCTGCATTTAGTGGGAAGAATTCCAGTGTGGAAAAGAGAGATGGGAAAGGTCAGGAATTTGCCAATTTGGGTTGAAACTCCCCCAAAAGTCAATTTTTCCAAGAATGTGGATGCAACAGGAAGCTCCTTCCCTTCCCTTCTCTTCCCTCCCTCCGTGAATTTGGGGACAGCACAGAGACACCCCAAAGATCCCGGCCTCCCCCACCCCTGGGGCTCCCTAAAATTCCTCCTGGGATCTCTCCCAGCCGGGAATTCCCCCACAGGGCCATCCCTGGATCCCAGCAGAGCTGTGGGATGTAGGGAAAAGCCTCCCCAGCCTCCCTTTGGCCATTCCCAACAGGGATTTTTTCCAGCTGGATTTGGGGATTTTTGGGTGGTGTTTTTTTTTTTTTGTACTGATTTTCTACAAAAATGGCTCCCACCTCATCCCTTCTCCAGAGGAAATTCCTGCTGGTCAGGTTCTGGTTGGATCCAGGTCCAGCTCTCACATCCCAGTGGGAATGATCCCCCCAACCTCCTCCTCCACCACCACCCCTTTCCCAAATCCAAATATCCCAATAAAAAAATCCCTCCCTCCTTTCCTCCCTCAACCCTGGGTAAATTTGAAAACCCCAATTCCAATTTTTAATCCCACCTTCCTTCCCAGGAAGTGGCCACCCCTTCCCTAAAAACCCCCACTTCCAAATTTTTTTTTTTTTTCAGGATTCTTTTCGGGTGTTTTTTTTTTTCCCCTTGGGTTTTTTGTTTGTTTGTTTGTTTGTTTTTCTCAGGGGATTTTTTTTTTTCGTTTTGTTTTTTGTTTTTCTCAGGAATTTTTTAAGTTCTGTTTGAAGCCAGCGTTGAGTTTTTACCCTTGGGCACAGGTGGAGGTGTGGAGGAGCCTGGATCCAGAGGCTGGATGGGAATTCCCTTCCGGAGGGATCCGGAGCTATAGGATGATACAGGGTTTTTTGTCCTTAAAGGGATTTTCGGAAGCAGGAACTCCCACCAGGAGTGGATCATTCCGGGCATGCTGCTCACAATAATTCATCAGCTCCGAGGAAGCTTTGGAGACCTGGATTTTGGGGGGAAAAAAAAAAAAAACAAACAAAAAGCAGGAATTTGGGGGGGGGATAATCGCACCTCAAAAGTCAGCCCAGCGCTTCCAGGATTTTTGGGGTTTGACATCCAGCTTTTCCTGACAGAACTTTGTGGGGATGAGGAGGAAAATGGGAATTGGGCGTGGAAAATCAGAGTTTACAGTGAGGAGTGTGGGGAAATGCCTCAGCTGGGAGATTTAAAAGGAATATTGTATCTGTGTTTTTCAGAGATTTGGGATGAGCTCTAAGGATGCTTTAAAAACCTGGATATTGGAGAAAAAAGCAGGAATTTATGGGAATATTCCCAGCTCGGGAATATTCCAGTGCTTGCAGGATTTTTGGGGATTTACATCCAGCTCTTCCCTTAAGGATTTAAAAGGGATATATTATCATAGCCGTGTTTTTCAGGGATTTGGGATGAAAAAGTGAAAGAGAAGATTCCCTGAGTGCAGCCTCTTGTTAAGGTTTGGAAAACCTTAGGCTCCATTGTTGAAGGCACTGCTTGGTTTAGCTCCAAGCTGGTTTTTTGGGAAGGGAGAGCTCGGAGGGATCAGAGGAGGCTCCGAATGCCGAGGGAGCTGCCAGGGATTTCCCGAGGCCATTTCTCAATTTCAATTTCCCCAGTGCCACAGGGCAGAGATGGAGCCACATCTGGAGGTTCCTCTTTTCCTCCAAGGCTCATCCAGGCACTCCCAGGGATCCAGGGGCAGCCAGAGCTGCTCTGTGCCAGGGAGAGAATTCCTTCTGTGTTGAGGTAGGATGGGAATGAGAAGACTGAAGCGAAAACAATTCACACTAGTGGTGCAAAGTGCTTGATGCACAGTGATAGAACTTAACTATAAATAATGAGAATAATAAGAGATAAAGAATTATTTACATTTTTTCTAACTCTTTCCCATGCTTCTGCCTGGCTAGAAACTCTCCGTTTCTCTCTTGGAATCTGAGACCCACATCCACCAACCCTAAAATTCCCCTCTTTCCATCCCTGTCACCAAACCCTGATGGAGAGACCCTCTCCAGCTTCCTTGGAGACCACTGCAGATGCTGGAGTGACTCCTGGATCGCTGGGGACATCCAAAGCTGGCATGTCTTCCCTCTCCCATGCTCACCTTGATCCTCTCGATGCCGGCCTCGATGCGGAGCTGCTCCACCAGCTTCCTGGCCTGTGCTATGTTGTTAGTCGTGGACATTCTCTGCCATCGGCTCCGGGCCCAGCACAGGAGAATCCTGCGGGAAAAGCGGACACTGCTCCAGCCCAGCGCCGTGCAAGGGCCGGGAAGGGACCCTAAAGCTCGCCCACCTCAGCACTGACCCCACGGCCACGTGCACGGGGAGCTCTGGTGGCCCCACTGACGCTTCCTGGGGTTGTCTGGAGTTCTGGTTTTTCCTGAAGGAGCCCTCAGGATCCCCTTTCCAGGGAGTTCTGGGCAAAGCTCAGCTGAGGAGAGCGGAAAAATCCGCCTGGTCCTGTGTGGGGACCCCAGCCTTGCTCTGGGGTCCCGTGTGGTGGGGAAATTCCTCCTCCAAGCCGTGATTCCAAAGGAAAACTGCACAGGCTCTGCTGCTGGGTCTCAAGGCAGTTTATTGTGAGTTATCTAAAAGATTTTCTTTTTTGGCTATTGGGGTTTGCTCACAGCCCAGGCAGAGGCACACACACACCCTGACATCCTCCCTGTCTGTGTCTTCTTCTTCTCTCCCCCAGCCCAGGGCTGCTGCTCTGTTTTATACATTTTAAATGTTTATAGTTTTCCCCGATGCCTGTTACCTATATTAAATACTGCCTTTCTATCTTTTATATGATATATTATGAATTACATGTTTATAGTTTTCCCCCAATACCTACTACCTATATTACAAAGTGCTTTTCTACTCTAAACCAATCTGGGAGTGCCAACATCACCAAGAACATGGAGGTGAGGAAGAAGAGGGAGGAAGAACAGGATCAGCCCACTTTCCTCCATCTTAGAACTTCTGACCCCCATGTACAAAGTAAAACCCCCCTGGACAGGTGCTAAAACCCCCCTGTACAACACTAAAAAATTTCCCCTCTGTTTTGTAACTACTTTTACTATCCTATCTAACCCTTTGTGACTGCTTGTTCCACCTCCAAGGTTGGTAACTCATTCCATGGCTCAAACCCAAAATCACAGCTGTTTGCAGCTGTGCCAGGGTCTCAAATGCTTCTGACCAAGGCCTGGAACCTCTAAAAATGTCTGAGGGACATTTTGAGTTCCCACAGTCCTGCAGAAGGGAAGCTCTGCCTCAGCACAGCCCCGGGGGCAGAGACCCCTGTGGGCACCTGGAGCAGCCCTGGTGGCTTTGGTGTCCCTGGCAGGTGACACCTGCACGTGGGTCCTGTCCCACCTGCCCGTGGGGTTGTGTCCCTGGGACCACGGCTGACTTGCCCACAGGATTAATGTCCATCCTGCCCGTGGGGTCTTGTCTCTGTGGGGTCCTGTCCCACCTGCCCACAGGGCCGTGCCCCTGCACCCCCACAACGCCCGGACAGGGCCTGAACCCCGTTCCTCAGTTTCCAGCAGGAATTGAAGGATTTTTTTCCACGAGACAGAAAACAATCCCCCTTTGTCCTGGTGCTGGGCACTCCAGGGGCAGCTCTGGCCATGTTGAATGCCTCGGGCAGACACCATCCCTGGCCTGTTCCTTGTGTGAAACACCAACCCCACCCTGTTCCCTGTGTCAGACACCATCCCTACCCTGTCAGACACCATCCCCATCCCGTTCCCTGTGTGAAACACCATCCCCAGCCCTGTCAGACACCATCCCTACCCTGTCAGACACCATCCCCA